TAAACTTTATTTGTAAAGGACTTTTCTGCAATATAGTAAAAAGTAGGAATTGACTTTAAATTTTTTTTTTTTTTTTTTAATATTATTTGTTTTTGAAATACACTTCCTTTATTAATGGCAATATTTATATTTCCACCATAAACTATTTTATTTAAGACTTAAAAATAGATATCATATTTCAGTTGCAATGTATCATTATCACTGTCCAAATCAAATGGTGTAATGCAGAGTTATTCAACATAAAATAAAAAAATTTAAACAAAGATTTTTATGGATTCATTTACTTTTTTAAAATCCTAATTTCATATAAAAAATAAAGAAGTATTTATTTTATTTAAATATCAGTTTTTTGTGTATTTGTGTTTCCTAGATATTTTTATTTCAATAATTAAAATTTTTGAACCATGCTCAATTATTTAATATGATGTACGTACGAAAAATAAATAGAAGATTACTATGGTACGAAATTTTTACTTACTTGTCTTTTTCATTGTTTTTTGATATCTTAGAGTATACAAACTTTTTTGCTTTACAACTGACTTTAAATTAGTATATTTTGTGTGGCCTGAGACAATCTTTTTCTTTAAATGCAATCGAAGGAAGCTAAAAGGTTAGACATCCCTGGTATAATAGCTATATAACGAGGAAGTAGCAGCAATTCAATGCTCTGTAGAATTAATTGAAATATTGTGCCTGTGTTAAACAGTACTGACCTATCAAAGTTTAGAAAGTCCGCATTATAATGAAACAGTCATCTGAACATGTTAAACATCAAAATTATGTACAGTTTTTCATTTAAAAAAAATGTAATCACTAAAAATTTTCAATACATAAATATTTTACTTTAAATAATAAAATAAACTTGTTTCAGTTATTTTTTTATCAACAACCATTTTGTAAAATAAATATAATGCACAGTAAAAATAGAACACAATGACAAATATTTTCATAATTACACATTAATTTATAAAAACAAATAAAAATCAAAATTTAAAAAAAAAACATTAAATTACAATATAACTAGGAAACATGCAATTTTGCACCACTGAATCATACAAATCAGGTTACAAACAACAAGCAACTTTCACTAAACTAAAGAATGTTATATAGAAAAATAAGTCAATATACAAACTTACCAATATTTGACAGAAAAAAGTTATAGATTAAAATCTTACTATACATGATTCTATTACTAATTGTCAAATAATTGAAAAAAGTTATTATGTCCACGATACCCTTCTTAAGACATTCCAAATGTTCACATATAAATATACATAAAAGTGTTTAATTGGAACTTGTAACATATATTAAAAATACAGTCAACTGCATTATCTACAAATATACTATTATTCACTTATTTATTTTTTTTTTTATTCCAATACACATTTTCTTCAAAATAATAAAAATTCTGACTAGTAACTAGTTTAATATTTAAAGTACAGAACTATCAAATGGAAATAATACTTTTATAATAATACATATATTTGTGTAAATTCTGCAATGTACCACTGGGGGACCAGAAAGCATATCAAAAAAATATATTTATGTTGTATATTCTATAATCAAGTCTATGCATTTGACCAATTATAAAAGAATTTTAACAAAAACTGTTAATTCTAGAAAATGTGTAATGGAAACATTTAAATAATAAAAATTAATTATAAATTTCACAGTGAATTTTAAAAATAAGTTTTTCTGTAAATACACATCAATTCTCATATTCATAAAGCACAATAATAAAAATACAAATATCACAGACAAGCAAACAAACTGTATAATATGAGCAAAAAGGAAAATGAAAAGCACTAAATTACATTATAGACATAATCAAATTACATGGTATTAAAATGAGAGAATGAAATAACGGAGATAGGATTAGTAACCCATAATTCAAAATTTTGGTTTTAAAAACAAGAAAACCTTAAATAAATAGAATCTATTTATCAAATCCCTAGTTGTAAAGTTTTATTGTAAACATAAGAATTAAGCACGTAAACAATAATGTTTTAAAAAATTACTCATTATTTATTCAGAAAAATATATATATATATATTTTTAAATAAAGTTTTTCAATAGATAAAACATTGGATCTTTTAAACATATGCCAATTATTTACAATCAATTAAAAAAAAAAAATAGTAAAATAAACTGAAGCAAGTAAAATAAAAATTAAGTTTAAAAAAAAGATGCATATAACTAATAAAAGTCATGTATGTAATTTAACAGATTAATTAATTAAATAAAACTTCATTCAAAAATAATATTTTTAGATAACAAAAAAAATTTGCTTTAACAAAAAAATTTCAGATACTATAATAAAAATTTATTTACATGCCTTTTTATTATAAAACACTTTGTTTTTAAACATTCATGCCTATAATCATGCTTATTTACTTGTTTTCCATTCACATACCATGAACAAATAATATTCCATTTTTTATAGTTGAGATCTTATACTAGAATAGCATTTTTTTGATTTTTAAAAACATTTTTCATGCTATATAATATACTTTTTTTCATGCATGATGAGAAAAATATATTTACTAAACATATTTTTCATTGAAATAAGTAAAAAAAAAAAAATCATCTTAAAAATGTAAAAATGAACTTTAATGACACAAAGTGAAAAACTTTTATCAACTCACATCCATTAAGGTATGATGCAAGTCACATCTTAATTATTTTTTTTGGGGAGGAAACAGCAATTTTTCACTATCCATAGCATAAATTTATTTTATATTTAAAAGATCTGTTCATTTCATTTGTCCTCTCAAGTTATATATATATACTCCACTTTAAACTGTAGGTCCCAGTCTGACAACCCTACCCCGTATAAAGAAGATGTCTCATGTTTCGACATCTGCCAGTAGGCAGATGGTCTTGGCCCACCATCCATAGGGCTGTTGCGCCAATCATGATGATGATACATATAAAAATTTTTACTGACAGTTTTAAAAGGACAAGATCCATGGATGATAGGCAGGAAATTGCAGTAATAAAATAAAATGCAATATGATTTTTAAGTAATATATTATTACACTATATAACTCAAAAAATTTTTATATTTAAAAAAATTGAGAATAAAAATAAAAGTCTGTATGAAAAAGAAAAAAAAGTCACTTGAACTCTTATACAAAAAATAATTAATTTTCAAAATTTAATTTATTTAAATATGGAAAACATTTCATAAAAACAATTCTATTTATACTTTCTTTCATAAAGTTCATGACAATTTTCTATAAGAAAATTTGTCATACAATTAATTTTTTTCCCCTATCATAGGGGTATTTGCATTTTAAGCACATAACTAATGAATCTCCAAAGTTATCAACATATTTATAATAAAGTACATAATTTCTGAATAAAAAAGGTTGTCTCCTTGAAAAAGCTGCCAGTGAGTATTTTTTTAACTATTAAATCAAGTGTTTGCATTTAATATATAATATTAATTATAAACAAGTTACAATAAAGTGTGTATAATATTAATTTGACATTGTAATAACAATTCCTGATATTTATGTGCCTTTGCCTTTCATCCAGACAATTGTTTGCAATTATACAAAAACTTTAAAAGATTACTGTTGAAATAAAATTAGGCTACAAAATTTAAAAATACTAAAAAGAAACTTAAAATTCTAAACAAAAAGCATTTTAGTTAGAAAAAGATTCTGCCTTTAAATTTAAGTTAATTTTTTATAATATCTGCATATAGATATTTGCTAATTTTATGAAAAGTCTTTATTTTAGATAAAAAGTAAGATTTTTAGCAGATAATTTTATTTAAAAATTTCATTTAAATGAAATTTTGTTTTAGAATAGACAGTAATGTTGGTATGCTGTGCTAAGTCTTGATCCATAAGATTTTGCAAAACATAGTACAGCACTTGTATACAAATAGTTCCCTACTTAAGAACATGATTCATCCTTTTACAGAAATATAATGAAAAACATAATAAGAAATTTATATAAACACTAGAGAAGACAATTTTTTCAAACAGTCAAACAATTTTTTTAAAAATGGATCTAGTAGCTTAATTTGAATTTGAGGTAAATAATGAATCATCATTTAAACAAGATAATATTAATCAAATAAAATTAATATTTATCAAAATAGTTTTTATTAAAAAAAAATAATTTACTTAAGAAATTAAAAGGTTTTAAACATATACATGTAAAAAAATAATTCCTAACTTTAAAATATAATCTACAACAAGGGTCTCCAAGCTATACTTCACAAGCACTATGAATTTGGTTTGTGACAGCACACAGGACCTGACTGGAATTCAACACAACGCTTTAAATTTATTTTTAACAATAAAAGTATAATAAAATGTTTTTTATTCACTAAATGAGAAAAAAAAAAAAAAAAAAAAATGGAACCACTGACCTGTACATATTTAATAGAATTCAACATTATAATAATAATTAAATGCAATTTATGCAACTATACTTTTGCCTGTAATAGTTTACAGTTAAGGATCAAGTTTGGTATCGATTATCAAAATAGTGAAGACAATTGAGTTAACTTTGTTCTATAAGTATCTTTAATAAATAGCAATACCTCTCACAGACTGAATATATTCCATCTATTTCTCATTGTTTGAAACCAAACTAAATGAGGAACTAAATTTTTATATAAAAATTGATAATTGAATAAAAAAAATTTTACTCAGTTTATCAGTAAATGAAAAAATATTATTAAATTGGCATGTTGTTATTAAAAACAAATATGTATTAAAAACCTAATACCTACCTAGGTAATATTGGTTAATGGTAATATGAATGCAACAGTAATCATTATAAAAATGCAATGTATTTTTGTTGCATATAACATACACATTATGTTTCCATGAAAAACTTCAAAAAAAAAAATTGTTTTATTAAAGTTAACCATATGTTAGACAGTCAGTCAGTCCTGTTTTATCGGAGCTCCTTGGCCGGTGATGGCCTAAAATTCCTGGCTATGAGTTAGTAACATGAGATAAAAATTTTGAATGCCAACGGCATGCAGTGTTCCTAAGCGGTCACCCTCCCAAGTACTGACCGCGCCCGACGATGCTTGACTTCGATGATCGAACGAGAACCGGTATATTCAGCATGGTATGACCGTCTGCTAGATTTTTTGTTCCTCCCCCCCCCAAACTTTCTGGAACAATCAAAATAGTTTTGATCTAAAAATTTGTGGAGACCCTTGGTCTACAAAACACTGCAACAACAATACAAAAAATTGGTAATAATGAAATCATAAAAATCTGTAATTCAATTTATGGATTTCAGTTTCAAAATGTTATTGTACACACAGATGTAATTTAGCACAATATTTGTAAAGTAAATGTGGATGATTTGCTGTCATATTGTAGATGTTTTATTTTAATTACATATATTAATTTTTTAAAAGCACTTTTTATGTTTACTTCAGATTTATCAATAATTTTGGAAGATAAGCATATTTAACAAAATTGTGTAAATATAAAATATTTTTAAATTTACTTCAAATTCCTCTAATAATTAATATTAATAATTTTAAAAGTTGATCATTTAAATCAATATTTAAAAAAAGTGTTCATAGTTTTCAAAAAGAATAAGAAAATATTTATAAGGAAATGAAATATACACAAGATTTGTTCATAAAATTGCGGAATGAAAAGTTTATAGATAACAAAAAATCAAGTGTTATAGAATTGAACTGATATCTTAATAAGGTTTATTTTTTTTATATTACTGTAATGTCAATTGAATTAAGGTTGTCAATCATAATTTCAATAGTCATGATATTACTAACTTAATTCAACTTTATTGAAAACTAATAATGGAATGCAATATAAAAAATACATTTTAATAGACATAAAAATAAAATATAATACAACTGAAATCTGTAAAATCTTCATTTAAAACATGAGGTAGAAAATAAAATCATTTTACTAAATACAGCAGAATTTCATTAATTTTTAAAATTCTGCCAGAATAACTTTAAAAAATAAAATTAACTATAACTATCAGAAAGTGATTAAAAGAATTTCAATTTTACAATAAAAATAATTTAAATTTGTAATATTCAATCAAACAACTATGCATATTTCATCTTATTTGTTGCATAAAAATTATATCTCATTAAAAACCTGTGTTGGGATAAAAAAAATACATCTGTAGTAACATTATATCAAATGCATGTAACGATTATAGAATGGAAATATAAAGAATATGTTTCAATCATTTTTTGATCTTCGAATTTCAGCCATGTTGGCATTTTTTTTCGATTTCTTGTTTTTACGTCGCTCTTCTGCTTCAATATGTTTGGCCAGTCTCCAAGACAAAATAGTGCTAGCCAGAAAAAATGGTGAAAGCCCAAGCAAAACATAATAAATAAATTCCCATGGATTTTCTGCTGCCCATTTTAATATCTCATCCATCCATTCTTTCCAATCTGCCATGATTTAACAGTATATCTGAAATAAATTATTTGATAATTTTTTATAATGCAAAACAAAACAATTATACACCGAAAATTAAAAACAAGATTTTATAGCATAAATGAATGATTTCAAAAAAACATTAAATTAAAAGATATTTCATACTTGTGTAACACGTTCAAAGAATCAGTCTCAGTTATTTTTTGATTTTTGAATTTCTATCCTGTAAAAAAAAAAAAAAATCTTCAATATGTATGGCCAATTTCTCATTTTCTACTAAATATATAATTTTAAAAAATATGTTAGCCAAACCATATATTTTCTTTTAAATTGCATCTTGTAATATGTATTTTACAACATTCAAATTGCTCAGTGACAATTGAGATTGAATAGTTTTCTTCAAATCTTTAGACAATATTAAATTTGCAAAATATATTAGTTTTATTTAAATTCTTTTACAATTAAAAAGGAGCTAAAATAATCTAGCAATCAAGATTAGTTTTACATGCAATACAGGCTACAATTTTGTTGACTGTTAATATTAATTATTATTTATTTATTTATTTTTTACCTGGTCATTAAACTGAACTAGACTACTTGGCAATGCTATGAATTAAATAGAAAGGGAAACAAAATCCAGCAAAGAAATAACTGCAATTTATTATATGAATAAAGAATATACAGACATTAGAAATAATTCTTGTTAAAAAAAAATAAAAGCATTCTACTATCTTTTCAAATTTCAACAAGCTTTATTTTTGAAATTTTTCTCAAAATTCTTCAAAGACAGTCACTGTACAGTTTAAAAATTAATACTTACCATGATGTTTCTTATTTCATTATTTTGCCCATCGTCACAATCATTCAATTAAAATGCACACCTTTGTTTCCAGATCTACAAATGATATCAGACTTATTTTAAAACGCTCAAAATGAGTTACTTCTAATTTCTCACTCTTGTAGGATTTGCAAGCATTAGAATAAATGACAGATCCTATCTCAATATTTTCAACTATCATTTTCAGAATTAAAAACAGTGTCGATTCAATAGGATCAATGTAATCAGATTGATCCTTCAGATATTTTAAAATGCAACAAGAAGATAAAACAATACTCTCAAATGTTTACGAATTCATTATAAATGCATAAGAAGTATCAGTTCACCAGAACATCTGGGGTGAGATATGCTGTTATCAGCTGAAGAATCCATAGGACCGCCAAGTCAGATCCAGTTATAATGAACAGGTATTTTTTTTAAATAATTATTAATATTTTAAAATAATAAAATTAGAGAAATAACACATAATTTAATATATAATTTCTATACACATTGAAATTTTTTCATAAAGATGCATTTTTTAAACTTATTAAATACTACTTGTTCTTTTCAATTCCTTTCAACAAGACTTAGCAATTCTATAATTATATAATTACATATTTTTATTAATAAATGTTAAAAATTTGTAATTAAAACTTATGTGACTAATCACCAATGCAACATCTAAAAGTACAAATAAAAAAATATAAAAGATGTCCAACAAGAGGGTTCATTTTAATTTATTAAAAAAAAAAAAAGTTTTCTGGGAAATATGATATTTTTATTTCAATCCAAAGTACAAATTATGTGATTAATAATGGAATACAGTATCTGCACAAAATACGGTGCAGGCTGGCTGAGGATACTTCCAATTACTGTGAAAGTCTTTGAATGGACAAAATGTGGGTTTTCTGCAACGCTTTCAGACATAACAGCAATATTTTCTGTTCATCTGGCTCGGTGAATACAGGTTGGGTTCTTTACATTCAAGCCATGACTGAGACGTTCAAATTCTCTGAATAAGTTCATAATTGCTGGATGAGAAGGCATTTTTATTTCAAAATGAAAGCAGTACAAACTTTGTGAATTGTTTCTACAAAACTTTCAACATTTTTTTCAGTGAATTTTTCACTTACTTCATTGTGTTGTACTTGTGTATATCTTTCCATTTTTGTTAACCATATGGTTTTTACTATTCGAATTTCAAAGAATGACAACTGCAAAATTTGATGCACTAAAAATAGAGTACAATTTAAAATGAAACTTGTTGAAACACCCTTTATTTAAGATAAATACTTAATTACATTTTTTTTTTGAAGTATTTATACAATATAATAATTTTATTGTTACCTTGCACTTATAATGAAACAAAAGTTTCTAATTCAATGATTTAATACCAAATAAATTAAATTGGATATCATCATGATTTGGCCATTTAAATCATACATGCAAAGATTTCATTTTTATAATTTTTTTTTATTTAATTATATACAGCAACATGACCTGTATACCATTTACTATCAGAATTTATAAATATACTATAATATTTTTCTCATTCAATTGAGGGGGAAAAAATCTGGCTCATTTCATTATTAAGTAAACATATATTTTATGTAAAAAGAATACTTTGTTAATAAATATATGTAAATATAAAAATATTATTTTAACAATGTTGTAAGATAATTAAAAATTCTACTTAGAGATTTTATATATTATTGCAATAGTAGGAATTTTAATAACCTTTGAAAGAAATAAAACTATTTTTAGTGGCAAAAATCATTTGCATATTTATGATTTGATTTAATGTTGCAAATGTATTATTTCACTCATTTGAAAACTGTATAAGTTCCTTATGAGAAACTTCTAGATAATATATTTCATTGAAATATCACTTAAAAAAAAAAAAAAAAAACACTGAGCTATCGAATTTTTAATAAGAATAAAATGAATTATCTCCTAAAAATAATTGTCTTTCTTACTGAAATATTGAATGATTTTCCAAAACAATACACTATGTTTTCATTAAAAACTGTTAATGCTAAAGATAAATATTTTTAGAAGTTATGTAGTTTTAACCAAATCTGCATTTATTTCACTTCTGTAGTTAAATTATTTTTCATTTCAAAAACATAATTTAAGTGCTGATATTGGTAAAAAAAAAAAAAAAACCAAATGATAAATATTTTGTTAAATTGGTCATTTCAAATTTTTTACTTTGGCTCCAATTAAATAAGCTAAATTATGTTAAAATAAATCTGAGCAACTTCTAATTTATATTTTTTTTTGCTTTATTAATAACTTTTGAATAATAAAATTTGTATAAAAAGGAAAAAAAATTTTTAACAATACAATAAAAAATGATGTATGAAGAATATACATCAGTTGATAAACATATTTTTTGTATTTTAAAAAAGTGGTAAGCTAATAAATTGATTGAACATCTAACAAAAGCATGTAAATTTTTTAAAAAATTCCCCCAAATTTTTAGTACAGCAGTTGACTTTTCTATACCACATTTAAGCTGTAATATTTTTTTCATTAACAAGTTATAATTAAAACTTTTTTTAATTTTTATTTTTTGTGAAGATTTAGTTATTTATGAAAAGATCCAACATTTATTTGTATAACTTTTCATCAATAGAATTTAAATGTATTAAATAAATAAAATTATTTAGTTATCTTAATATATAATAGAGCAAACCTAAGTTGAACCCATTGGAAAATATATTATTAACTCTTTAAATGCTTTAAATATAATCAATACTTCAGATATATAAATTTTTATCATTTTAATACAAAAAGCAACATATTGGACAATTGACTTTAATTGAATGAGAATTAATTTCTCATTTGAACGAGTTTTTTCTACAGTTATTATTATTTCT